TCCCACAGAAGACCAGTGAGAATTGAAATGACTTGTGGGATAATCTGCTCCAAATATTTTTATATATTAAAAGATCAGTGTTATTTATTTACATGTATTTCTAATAGATTTCAATTCTTTTAAGTAATAGATGTGTGGTGTATCTGTCAAGTTGATTCCATACATACATTACAATTTTAAGTGTAATGCGAAAGCAAGTTTTGTTGATAATGAGACTACTGCCATAATTTTTTTGACTATTTTCAAACTCTGACATATTTTAATTGAATGCAGCAAGATATTGCAAATCTAGTAATACTCATAAATTACTGGGCCACCTAATTATTTTCTATTTTTATACTGTACTTCAATCAAGTTCTCAAGACTGCTTACAAAAGCAAAGCATTATTAATCACATTTATGTAACATGTTTGCATTAAAGTATAGAAACCCAATGATAACAGATAAAAATCTCAACAAAACATTAAAACATTTAAGCTGCAGTTCCATAATTGAATAGGACAAATTAAAAAACCAAGAGAAATGTATACTTATACTGAGAGCATTCTATAAGATTGGTACAAAAGAAAATTCTTTCCTGTATGCATGGCAAATGCCCCCTTTGATTAGACAGATCCTGTAAAATCCCCCTTGCAAGTTTTAACAATTGCTCAGATTAATTATTGGTAATCTGCCAGAGAACGAGGCCCTAAGTGGAGAAAACATTTTCATATCTGGGCTGCGTAGTAGATGGGAGTTGCTGGATTGAACTGTGGGTGGATGCCTAAACTGAGCAGGACAGAACTGCAAGATGGATGGAATTAAATTTTTAAAAAATAGTAAAATTCCAACAATTAAAAATCCAAGAAATAAACTGCTGGAGGGAGTATTTTAGAGAAATGTGTGCTGAAGATTGGAACTAAAATGAATTCTGTAAATGTCAATTACACCACCATCTAGAAGAAAAGATGAAAAAGAAATTATAAAGTGAATGTTGAAAAATTGTCAAGCTACAGGTGCAGATGGCAGATGGCAGAACTGAAAAAAAACATGAGAGCATGGCTGTGATTGCCTTCTGAGTCACAGTGCACGAACATTTCTACATTGTATGTATGTCTCTGCTTGAGGGCTGAAATAGTGCTGTTACTATTCCCCTACACAAAGGGGAAAGGTAACATTGATGAATACCATACTACAGGGAGATAAATTTGTTAAGTGTGTCTGAAAAGCTTTTGAGAATAATTATTATTGAAAGGATAGAAGAGATGGGAAAAATAAAACATGGAAAGTGCGGATTTTTCCATTTCAGCAAGAAATATAATATGAATAATAAAGGTTTATTTTATTTATGTCAAATTTTATCTACCTACCTATCTAGCTATCTGTCATGGAATTCCATGCCATATAAGGCATGTACAAAAAGAGAAGGTCAAAGAATATGAGGCAGACCCAGAAGAACATGGAGAGGCAACATAAAAGACACAATACACAAAATCAATTAATAATGGTTGAGGCCACCAGAACAGCAAGAGCCAGAACTCTCTATTTCCCTCGACACCCAAAGCAGTAAAAGAAGAAGTAAAGACAAAGATCTGTCTGTCTGCCTACCACATTTTTAAACTGACCATTTTCCTCATAGAAATGTTATATGGGCTTGAGTTATGGAACGTTTTTCCAAATCTGGAGTTGTGTACGTGAAGAGCAGTGGATGGAACACTTTGGAACACTTTGGCTAGGAAGAGAATATACAAATGTGATAAATATGTATCTAAATATATTTAGAGACTATTTTTAAATTTCTAAAATAAAAAATGTAGGTAGAAATGCAGGAAATTAGTTAATAAGTTTCTGTTATGAACAAAAATAATGTCATATTTTGGCCCAGCTAAATCTGCTAAAGAACTCTGAAATTGATATATGGGATACAAAATTTGGAGGAGGATGTGGCTTCCAATATAATTCATGCAACGTTAAAAGTAAGTATTTGAAAGACACATGACTAATGGTATATGTGATAATTTCAGTAGTATGGAATTCACATTGTTTGGTTTGGTTAATAAGAGTGATATGTGATGGGTGTAAAGCAGAGGTAAAAATAAGGGGTATACTTGGAAAATGATTCAGTGTTGAGGCAGAGAGTAGCACAAGGATGTTTAAAGTCTCCTTGGTGGCTTCATGTATTTATGGATAATATGTATAAGAAATTTTATGGAGATTTAAGAATATTGTTTGGAACATTAAAGTATATGTTAATTCGTATGCAATTGATGCAACCCTATTGGCCAAGAGTTGAAATCATTTGAGCCAATGTTAGATTCTGTAATGTGGATTTCAAAATTAATAAAAGAATAATAATAATATTTGGAAAATGGAACCAGTGTTTGTCATAAATGGCAAAAGAAGAGCAAGTTGATGGGTTTGCGTGCCTAAAAACAGAAAAATAGTTGAAAATGTTGTAAGATGTGCAAATGTTGATAGAAAGGTCGGGTATAAAGTATGCACTTTTGCAAGGAGCATTTGTTGAAATACGAAAAAAAAAAGCTGTTGTGGAAATGTGTGCTTATTAGATGAAAAAATAGTTATGTATTCTAGAAGAAATATAAAAGTAGGTGGAATGCAATGGGAATGGGAGATTTAAGATATCTATGTAATAAAGCAGGAAGAAATGGGTAAAGACAAGAATAATTACTGGGTGTGCTACAAATCTATTTTTATCAATGAGAGATTAACCATGAGATGAAAAGTCTTTGGGCTTGTTGAAATTTAAGAATGTAGAACTTAATATTTATAAATTGTAGTTCAGTTTTTTCACCATGAATTCTTTCAATTAACCATGGATAATTATGTCATTGCAAACCAAGACCCAGAATATAGTAAGCTATTGTTCACAAATGATAGGCTATATCAAATTACAAAAGGAGCCTATACAGGAATTTCTGCAATAGCAGATAACATTAGCTGTGATTACATGTCATTAAAAAAATGAAATCATTACTTATTTAATCAATTTATTTTGACTTGCAATGTCGTTAAGCCATAAACTACATACAGTGCTGGGTTCACAAGTAAGCTAGGTTAAACATGCCTGTTTCAGGGTGTTGTTGTTATATCCTGCATATTAGTAATATAATTGTTATGAATAAGAAATAACTGTTTTAGATTGGGTGTCTTTCTGCAACAACATGTTGATCTACCAGTCAAAGCTTTAGTAAAGGAAATGCCATTGTCCAGGATATATATTTCCCCCTTTTTTTAGTATGATATTCTTTCCATGATGTTTGAAAAATTGTGGAGGATGGGCATAGTGCTGGAGAATTGGAAAAGGGCAAATATGTCTCTATTATCAAAAATGCGGGGAGGGAGAGAGAACCTGGGTAACTACACTCTGGTAAATCTCATACAGATACCAAAGTTGTGGAACAGATTATTAAGAAGTTGGTTTGTAAGCATGTAGAAATGAATGCATGGCTTGAATAAGTCAGGTCAAACCAATCTGATCTTTTTTTTGATAGAATGGTCAGTTTAATCTGGTCGGACATAGTATACCTTGATTTCAGCAAAACATTCTTCTACAAAACTCTATATATGCTGCTGGACTACATTGCCATTAGAGCGATACAGAGCTAATTGAACAGCCATACCAAATAAGTATATATTTATGTTTAGGCTCTTTCTTCTTCATTTGGGCACTAAAGCAGTATAGCCCAATAATCCCAATTTGTATTCTTGGTGTCTTATTTCAGACCAAATTCATTCACCCCTTCTAGAAACAGTATTGATATCAACTTGGCATCAATGATGTGTTTTCTTGATGTTACCCTCTTTAAGCATGCAAACTGATTTTCTCCTGCTTTGGCTACAAAACTGAAATTCCACAAGCAGCACCTTCTTCTCTTTGTTTTTGATTTTGGCACTCTTTAGTCAATTGCATAGCAGCCTTACCATGGCTATTGCTGTTGAGAAAAATGCCTGACTTCAAAACTGGGATGGCTTTGAAATTATTTATATATTACTTTTGATGGCTGGCAACCCACCATCAGTGTAGATAGTAAAGATCTTGTCAGATAGGTATGTTACCAAAGCAAGAAAACGTGGCTGAAGAAGAATGTAAATGTCACCCTGTCATATAAGGGTGAGAGGAGGAGGAGGAAAAACACTATCAGACTTGCATGATCCTGACACATAACTCATCTTAATAAAAGTCTTCCATGGAATTTATTTATTCCTTGCTCTGGTTTACAGTATATTACTGAGATATTTTGCGTAATGAACAGCTATAAGTATTTTAAATAGGTTTTTTTTTTAAAAAAAAGCCACCTGAAAGCTTTACACGAGTGTTTATAATCAGGAAGATGTCATGCTGGCCAGAAAAATTTCACCTCATAAAGACAGTTTTTGCAAATATTGAGAGACGGAAAAGGGCCCTAGCACTTTATTGCCTCCCTCCTTGTATGGTGCAGGGGCATTGCCATAGTTCATGGCTCACTCTACCGATTAGTCGGAAGGAGTCCCGATTGGTGCCTTTACTGCCCGCTGCCCGCTCCCCGCTTTCTGACTGGAAGAGGCTCTCCCCGGTCGTTTTCCAAACCCCTTGGAGCGCCTAGCGCTGCAGGGAAGCGCCCGGAAGGCCCTCGTCTGTGCTTTAGGAATGCTGAGCTCCGGGAACCGGAGTCAAGCACAGCTCGAGAGCGCTTTCCGAGCGCCAGGCCACGGAGGCGCCCCTGCTTATGGAGGTCCGGCCGACTGCCAAAGGACTCGGCTACAGTTTGCCGGATGTCTCTGCCCTGACGCCGCTCCCGTCTCCTTGGAGTCCCTTCATTCATTTCCTCTCCTCCCATGGCATCTGGCAAACCCTCCGCCCGCTGGCGGGAGCCCCGGCTGGCGCTTCCTCGCCTCTCCTCCGGGACTCTCGCCCTTGGAAGGCAACGCGCGGGGAAGGCAACGCGCGCTTTGTTCCTTTAAGAGCCTCCGCTCGCCCCTCTCACGTGGGCGATCAGCTGACAGTGACGCTCCCGGGGAAAAAGCTGCCTGTTCCTGAAACCTCAGGGGCGCTGCAGCGGGTGGCGAGCGTCTCTCTGTCCTGCCGCTCAGCCGCCTCTTCCGTCTGGCTGCGGGAGGGCGCTTGGCGGCGGCGGGGGGCGGCGGTGGTAGCGCGAGGAGCTCCGGCGGACAGAGGGCAGCGCCAGGCGACAAGCCCGCTAATCTTTCGCGCGCGTCCAGCCGGCGAGGTGGAGAGCCTGGCGCCCGAGACGAGCCAGGCAACCCAGCAGAGAGCGAGCAGCTCCATTCCTCTCCAAGCGCTCGGGGATTTGCGATTCCTCCCATCCTTGCAGGGCGGCGAGACGGCAGGGCTCGCCAGCACCGGGGGCTGTGGGTCGCTCTTCGGACGTTTGCAGCCTGGGTGTGAAGCAGGCTGCTCTTGGCAAACCCACCCACCCCCGCGCCCAAATCTAGTTACCCCAGTTCATGGATTATCTGGTAAGTCCCCGGTGCAAAGTGAATGCAAAATCTTCCCCCTGCTCCCAATTTAGGGCGAACCTGATTTCAACCCTGCATGCTCCCAAATCCATTGTTTATACCTATTTTCTGTTTGCTTGTCTGTCTGTCCAGAGGTCCTCAAGTATATAGCGCTCTCTTTCTTGTACTTTCAGACGAGGTGGAATTTGGCTGTTGATTTTTAGAAGTCGGAAATCACCTTTTTTCCTCTCTGTGGTGCTGACAAAGGGTAGTGGACAAGAAAGTTTCCCAGTTGTGCTTATGTAAACTCCTGGCTAGAAAACGGAATGCTCCAGGCTCTGAATCTGGTGGCTTTCAGAACAATTAAAGCCTTAAATGGACTACTACACTCTCATTGGGTTATTAGGCTTCTAAAGTCCTGAACCAGGTCACCTAGCTTGGGTTAAATGCTTAAATTGACAGGACGCTTGAATGCATTACATTGAAATGAGCGTGAACAATTCTGTACTTAAATAATTGGGTATTTAGCAGAAAACATTTAGCAGCCTTTCATGAGAGTTGGCTTATTTGTTAAAAGAGAGAGAGATTGTATCACAGTTGTTTGCTTCAAGATTAGAGGAGTTTAGGGTTTGTGAAAGGCCTGGCAGCTACTAATCTGAATTGCCTTCATGAATGGAGCCAAGATCTTGACTCTAATCTATTCCTTAATTAACATTTTTATAACACAATGCACAATCTAACTGATTAGTGTTAAGAGAAGCACTGTGGTTCATATTAGCTTTTTCCCATGCTTTTTAACTTGCCCACCTTTTTGCCTTTCAAAATATATATGCTAACGATTGGGGCATAGTCATAAATTACATACCATGAAAAAATCATAAAAAGTTACTTTTTTGCTGCACACTATGGGAAGAGATACAGACTAAAGATACTTTCAGATGAGGCGTTCATTGTGCAATTAGCTTATCTTCTTCACTGTGTTTTACAGGTCTCTAGATGTAAGGATTCATTCATAATCTTCCTGAGTTTTTCCCCCTACCTTTTTCTTAATACAGAAAATGGCTAAGCCAGATCTAAATAATGTGTTTATTTGTGACATTCTCAAGAGCTATCTATATTTTCTAGATAAAACTATGAAAATGTTTAATATATAAAAAATACCTTCCAATATAACATACACGTGTAGCCTACATGTATGAAACTCAGTATAGTAATCAGTTAATTCATGATTTCCTGTCCTAGCTTGTCTAAATCTTATATAAAATGATTTAATGTGAATGAATGTGTCAAATTACATTTTTCTGCAGTTCTGTTGAGATGAAATATGCCTTTATTAGCAGAAAGGAAGTGTTTTATTGATCTATTAGTAAAGATGCTTTTTAGAATAAGTGTGGCATTTACACTGGGAACAATATACTGTATTACCTAAAATATTTATTTCTAACTAAATTACTTTAAAAAGCAAGACTACTTTTTCAAAAAAAAGCATACCACTATTAGAAAAGCACACATTATCTTTTTATTTTGTTTCAAAAGTTTGTGGAGGTAAATTGTATTTAGCCTATGTGTTGATGGGGAAAATGTTTGCTGTATTAAGACTATGTGACACTTTTTAAAAAATAGTTTAAAGGACTGCTAGTAATTAACTTGACTATTCTGAGAACAGGTATTACTATAACTACATGAGGTGCCTGGAGATTCCTAAAGGAATATTTTTGAAATTTGTATCTGGGTGAAGCTAGCCTTTTATTACTTGGAGCAAATATTAAACTTTTTAACTGCTGCAGAATGTAATGGAAAAGTATTCTAGTGTGCAGAATGTGTTTAATTGACTATGAAATATGTTCTTGCACATGACAAACTTACAAAATGCCCTTTGCTAAGTCTAGCTTGACCTCTTATCCTTATTTTCTTTGTTGCATGCAACGTGAAGCAAATTGCGCTTTTGAATTGCTTGTTTCATGAAAAAATATTTCAGTTGTAGCTGCTTTCATATTACCCTCTATCCCTAACTTTTATGCAATTAACTATTTATTACATTTGTAGCAATAAAGGGGAGATTGGAATATGAATCTCTTTTCTTTGAAGTGCCTGGATATTTAGTTTGGGTAGATTGGTTTGTAAGGTTTAGAAGCAAGCCAAGTTATAGAAGAACAATCTAGAACTTCATTATGAATTTTGGGTTGTTTGCCCTAGCAAATCGCTTTAGGCTAAGAGAAAGCTGAATTTATGTTCTGAACATAAATGATATTGGCAATGTTTTCTCTAACAGGACCTTTCAGAACTCACCGAATACTTTCTACTTGTATTACTGCATAACAGACAACAGCTAGAGGACAATAAAATTGTTAAGGCAGATGCTGGATATATTGTTAATATTCAGCCAAAAACAACACTTGGAAAATAATATAATTGACATTTGTATTTTCAGTGTTTGCACCATTTAGGAGTCAAGAAGTCAGCATAATTTACATGGTGCATTGATGATTGTAATGATCTCATGGCCACACAGAGTTCTATATGTTTGTGCTTATAAGACCAAGGAAAAACAGAAAAGATTAGAAGTGTATTTGTTTGTATTCACCCTTCTAATACATACTCAAGGAAGTTACTTTTTAAAAAACAAAGCATGATATTAAATTCCAGTAATATTAAAATCCGGGCAAAAGAACATATTTATTTTTACACATTGGGAGAGCCAAATGAGATCCAGTGCAGATCTCATGAAGGTTCATTCCATAGGCAGAGAGCCATGGGATACAAGGACCTAATCTGGTGAACCACGAAGAAGGGCCAGACAAGTTCATAAAAGGACCTGGGCTAAAACTCACACAAATGCTGCTATGAGGGCATTTTTCTCTCTCTATTCCAGTCGCCCATCATTCCTCCCTGCTTCTTGGTATATATGTATAGTTGCGGGTAACTTACCGATTTCTCAAATTTAGGTGCTGCCAATTTAATTTGACTAATAGTGAATTTCAGTAGCTAAAACACTTACAGCATGAGTAACAATTTAAGCAATGAAATATATGGTAAAATGTAAACATTTATACATCATTGTTAAATAATATCCTAAAATGTTGACATTGGTCTGAAATGGTATACGGTTTCCAACTCTATTCTAATTCTAATTTATTCAAATTTGAATTCTATTCTTGTCCTGTTACTTTCTTAAAGTAATGATGTCCCTAAATACAGTAATCCCTTGACAAATACAAGAATATCACATAATTAGTCTAATACTAATTTATTTATTTGTTTATTTTTTCCTTTATAAGGAAAACATAGGACTTGTAATTATTAATAAAACAATGTATTTTATGTAATTCTATTGCATTTGTACAGTATTATAATTACAATTGTAATTACAATTACAATACAATTGTATTGCATTTTTATTATAGTAACTGTAGGACAGATACCAGTGGCAATAACCCAGACTTGTGCTAAACTTCAACCATAGCTTGGATTGTTGGATACAACAAATGTAGCACAAAGTCGAACAACTGGAAATATATGTGAAGGGTCCTGGTCAGTGAAGCAGAAGCAGTGACAGGCAGACTTTGTGTTCTCTACCAGGGTAATTCTTTAAAATAGGATAAATATATATCTTCCTTGGTTCCCTATAGGGAGAGAAACAAAAGAACCATATGTTTTTATACTGTCCCCACAGAACTGCAGAGGGTAATGCATCCAAGCTGCCAAGGTGAAAGGCCGATGAAATTTCAGAATTAGAATTTGAGGCAGATAAGATAATGGCCATTGAGAAAAATCCGTAAAATATAAATGTTATGTTAAATATAAACTGCTTAAACTACTTGAAGTTCAATCTCCTCCTCCTCCTCCATCACCACCACCATTGTCATCTTCCTAGCATTATTCCCACAGGTGCAGTGTCCGCTTTTTGGATTGACAAATGCCATCTTGCATGATCAGATGCAACATACGGGTCCAACTGGGCAATTTTCACGTCTGCATTTATTGTGTCTTGCCATCTTTGCTTTGGCCTTCCATGCAGGCATTAGCCATCTGTGTTAAAGTAGAAGACGATGCAGGGAATGATGATTGATGATGTTGATTGAAGATCAATATCCTGGATACATTGTTTAAAGTGATCCCCTGGCATTTTCAAGCCCTTTGTAAAATATTCTTCTCTTGTGGATCTGGCTCTATTGGTTCTTGGAGACCATTTTAATCCAACCTGGCTAACAAAAACCTAATACAGATAGTCCTTGATATATGACCACAATTGAGCCCAAAATTTCTGTTGCTAAGCAAGAGAGTTGTTAAGAGAGTTTTGTCCCATGTTACAACCTTTCTTGTCCCAGTTGTTAAATGAATCATTGTAGTTAAATTAGTAATGTGGTTGTTAAGTGAATCGGCCTTCCCATTGAGTTTGATTGTCAGAAGGTCACAAAGAGTGATTGCATAATCCAGGACACTGCAATCATTATAAATACATGCCAGTTGCCAAGTATTTGAAATTTGATTATATGACCACTGGGGTGCTTCAGCAGTTGTAAAAGTGAAAAACAGCCATAAGTCAATTTTTTTCAGGGCCTTTGTAACTTCGAATAGTCACTAAACAAATGGTTATAAGTCAGGGACTGTGGTAGCAAACTCTTGTCATCAGGATTTTCTTTGGAAAGCCTCTGTTGATTCTAGCACAAGAAGATTGCAGGTGAGAAGTGAAGGCTATCCAGAATAGCTCAGTCTTCAGTACCTTTTGAAAGTCTATTTATTCCCTGGCGGCTAAGTTAGTAGAACATGTATCCACCTCTGGAATACTTTGGGACAAATCAAAATGAAGTTAGGTTTTGCCACACACTTCTGCTTTTACAGGCTTTTTACACAATCTTTTAAAGCATGTTTACCATGGTTTTCCCCCCTTGTTTACTGAAAATATTTACAGACTAATGTCCACCACACAGGTAACTTTCCTTGCACTTTGCAATCATTTTTCTTAATGGACTCAGTCAGCTCATTTCTTGTAGCATTTTAATTAATTTGCTTTGCATCAG